AACACTGCATAAAATTTGTTTGTGTAAACAAAAGTTTAAAGTAATATGAAAATCTCCTTTTTTTTTTTCTTATGGCATTGTAGATTTGGTCATATGAGACATTATTATCAAGGTTAAGTACATTAAATTACTTAACATCATGTGACTTTGAGTTACATGAACTTTGTGTATTTTGTCTTAAATGAAATGATGACCAATAAGTCATTTTCTTGGAAAAGGGACAAAAGCCTAAGAATGTCTGAGTTGGTCTACATTGCTTATGTGGACCTTCTGAAACTCAAGCCAGGAGAAGTTTTTCCATACTCCGTTATCTTTACTAATGATTTTAAAGGCTGAGTTATGTGTGTCTTACGGAACACAAATTGAAGCCTTAGAAAATTCAAGAAGTATAAGTTTGGAGTAGAGAAACAACATGACTAAAGTATCTTTTCGATTTGATCGAGTAAAAGAGTACTTCAGCATGGAGTTTCTTTATTTACTTGAAATTTCATGGAGTCCAATTGTAATGGATACCTCCTAGGACTCATTTGATGGAGTCTTCGAAAGGAGCAATCAAACCTTATTAGATATGGTTAGATCCATGTTAAGTTTCACCACTCTTCCACATATCATTGATGTTATACCTTATTGAACTCGATTTACATTATGGATAGAGTTCCATTGAAGTCAGTTGTAAAGACGTCATATGAATCATGACGTGGCAAGAGGCCTTGTCTTTATCATATGTGAACCTAGGGTTGTCTAGCATATGTGAAGAAACTTTTAACTGATAAATTGGAATCTAAAAGTGAAGAATGTTATTTTGAAGGCTATCCAACACGAGGATACTATTTCTATCTTCCTGGGGAACATAGAGTAATTGTCTTTAGATAGGCGAAGTTTACAGGAGAATATTATTTCTTCAAAGGACAAGGTCGTGTTGTGATAGAACTTAAAAAGTTCAGGAAATTCAAAAAATAACATTAAGGTTCAAGAATTGTCATTTGGTATTGACAATGATTTAGAGGGAGGTATTGGTGATTCCCTGTATAGAAATTTGTCATTTGATGGACAACTTCTAGCTAGTGGGAGAAATATGGGTGAAACTGCAGAGTGCATCGCACTCATATACAACCAATACTTAATGTCTTGGATGTCGTTCATTCTCAATAAACACATGCAAACGTGCTTTTGAGAACCCTCTAATCGTTGAGAAACTCCAATGTACAAGAACCTCTTCAAGATCAGAATGTCTAACAACAAATGCAAATGTAAAACTCCGTAGGTTGACTAGAACTCGTCGTGAACCAATTAGATTATCTTCCTCTTGGAGGATCACGATGATGTAGAGATTCCTAATGAGGATGATCTCAGGACCTACACTGAGTTTATGTAAGACATGGACTCAGGAAGGTGGCTAGATGCCATAAAATCATAAATGGAGTGGATGTACATGAATCAAGTTTAGAACTTGGTTGTTTTGCCAATTAGGGTTAGACCTATTGGATGCAAATGAGTTTTCAAAAGAAAACAGATGCAAAAGGCAAAGTACAAACCTATAAGGCTAGATTGGCTGATAAAGGTTATAGTCAACGTGAAGACATTGACTATGATGAGACCTTTTCCATTTGGATTTTACTTGCAATAGTTGCATACTATGACTATGATATTTGACAGATGGATGTTGAAATCGCTTCCCTTAATGGAAAATTAGAGGATGTATATATGATACAATCTAAAGGTTTCTTATCCAAGTCAAATTGAAAATTAGTATGCAAGTTACAAAGGTCCAATAGTGGACTTAAGCAAGCCTCTGGGAGTTGGAATATCTTTTTCTACGAAGTTACATAATTGTTTGGCTTTGTGAGAAGTAAGAAGGATTTATGCGTTTATAGTAAATGCAATGAGGATAATATTATTTTTATCATATATGTATGTGCCATATTGATAATGGAATGATGTTCCTCACATGCAGTCCGTGAAAGATTGATTACCAAGTACCTTCATTGTGAAAGGTTTGAGTGAAACTGTTATACTCTTGAAATTATGATCTATCGAGATAGATCCAATAGAGTGTTAGAGTTTCACGGTCCATAGTCAAGGTACTGAAGTGCTTCTCCAAT